CCTCTCTTCCTTGATAGGATCCGGAATAGCAACCAAGCCGCTTCTTTTGAGGAAGAAAGCGCGCTCCAGTCGAACAACGTATGCAGCTTATGGGGTCGAGTGGGAATTCGTAGAAGTCGATAGTGCACGCATTCGTCCCACAAATTTCTATTTGCCACCCTCGTGCCGGGTCCTGCTGCGATATACAGTCTGCCCCAATAACCAGGCCAAAATTGGCTTGGCGGGAGTGCGCGTCGCGAGGATTCCGCGCCAGTTCTGCGCCTAGCTAGTCTGCTCTCTCCTCAATCTCTTCGCTCTCTGTGACAGCGCGCGTATGCAGCGCAAACCCCCAGCGCTGCGAACGCGCAAATTCAGCCGACGGTTCGGCCTGCCAGTTGGGGCAGACTGTACTCTTTGCTTCAACCAGATCGGCGGCTGGAAGGTTAGGATGAGGCCCCGCCTTCCAGCAGCTAATCTGGTTCAAGCAAAGGTTACACTATTGAAGGAAAAGCAAAATCTTGAAAATTTCGCAATATTTTCTTCAAACTTGTCTCGACACGATGATGTCTTCTTTGAAAAGCCTGGCAGGCACTAGCATCAGAAACTATTAATAATCAGCAAAAATTTCATGTCTATGACCAAGAGTTCATAGAGTCTTCAAATGGAAAAAGTTGTTTTTTTACCCGCCGTGGTGGTATTCGCAGAATAATTACATGGAGCCTTGATTTTCGATAACATTCTGCAAGCAAGATGACTTTTAGATAGATGAAAGCTAATTTGTGAATATGCTAATCCACTAAACTCTAAATCCTTGACCAGTACAGGCGTTTGAGTTGGAGATGTATTGTTAGAATTTTTAACAAAACATATTTTTTAGGTGATACCATACTCCGGCCACATTGGACCTTGGTCCTGCATCTTATTAGACTGCAGATTTTATTGAAGCTGATTATGTGCCAGAAAGAGCACGAAAAGCTCTTTTCAGTGGTGGTACAAAAACTACCGCATTGAATAAGGATCTTAAAATAGCTGCTTCAGATATAAGGCAACAGAGTTCGGACAGAACTTATGCAGCAGCCTAGTGTGCAAAATGAAGTGACGAGCAAAAATTTTCTCCCATTATTCAGTGAAAAATACTGCTATATGAAGCAATTTCACTGCAATGGAAAAGTATCTATCAAAGTGCTGCAGTAGGTGAAAAAAGCAGATAAATTTCGATAAACGGCTTTCTTTCTATTCTACGGTAGGTAGGTGCAGATTTTGAGCAAAAGCATTTCGTTCAAGGATGCTAAAGACCTTCTAATGGCAAAATTTCTGAGCGCACAGATTGTCTCAGCACGGATTCAAAAACTGATCTAGATAGTAAATATTTCTTCTGGTGAGTAATACAAAGAAGTGCAATCAAAAGCGATTCTTAATGAAGTCTCAATTTCTGGTCTCTTCAAAACTTTGTGTTCTAGAGTATAATATCCTTGTTTGCGAAAAGCAAAACATGCGGTTAGCGAAACTATCGCACATTTATTTTTGTGCAAACAGGCTGACGCAAATCTAGCAAGAGAGGGTTTCTTCTTCAGACAAATGGTAAGACTGGGAATTGGCAATTTCAAAGCCTTTATGTAAGCATATGCTACATCTATAATTTGAGAGCTGTGAAGAGAAATTATAAATTGTAAAGTCTAGGCAATTAGCTATAATGACTGGCTTTCTCAGCCATTTTTCTTTCACACTGGCTTTGCAGCTTGGCTTAGAAGCATTCTTCTTTCATTTTTTGCTTCGAGGGACGGAAAAGTGTGATCATTTCTTTCGAAAACATTTGAAAGCTATGAGCAGGGCTCGGCACGAGGTGGATAGTTGAAAATGCAAAAAATGAAGTCCCCCTTGACTTTTGCGAATTTTTGCGAAGTCCCTTTGAACTCTTGACCATAATCTCTAAAAAATCTCCAAGAAAACGAAAGGTCGTCCAAAAAAGTCGCAAATTTTGTGTCTTTTTGGTCAAAAATAAAAACCCCTTGTTTTTTGTTCCAAAAACGATATCCAGTTTGCTTATAAGCCACCTGTGCGAGACCCTGGCTATTAGTGAGCCGCAGTGAGCAATATCCCAAACTCGGGATCCAAAATAAGAGTATTCTCCAATTTTCTAACACCGTGGCGTTTCAAATACGTCCGGCAAAGCTCATAGATACATCCGTCAAATGACAGATTCGTGATTCGGAACCTAAGCCGATGAAACATTGCCATGACAGCGTTTTTATGCTGAAGGCCATCCGTCAAGGAGAAGAGTGCTTCCCACTCTGTCACACGGCTCAAGTTCGTTCAGCTGCAAAATCACAGTGTAAATCTTGTTAAAGGACATGGTAACGGAAACGGCTGTCCATGGACTTCTGCTATTGCCAAAATAGCCGCAAACGAGTGGTTCCCCTTGACGCCTTAGGTGATAGATATTTTTGGACGCGGGATCCCAGGGGAAGGCCTTTGGTGCAATGTTGACTCTTGAGTTTAGTGAAAGAGGGAGCTCTGGGGGTGCATTGAACTTGCTCGAATAACAATGTTGATAAATATTTCGATGCGAGCACGAACAGCAGAATGCAGTGCAATAATTTACACACAACAACGTGCTCTAAAAAATGTAAGTTGTTCGTTTAGTTCGCTTAAAAAATAGCGGCAGACCTTTGAGCAATAAACTTTAGAGTAGACTTTAACTCAAATTTAGATTACAAAACAAATTACCGGTCCCTCTTCAATATGTGGGATTATATAAAATTCGAGATTTCATGACACTGAAAATTAAAAGTTGTCGCAAATAAAACTTCCAAAATTCACTTGTTTGTTAACGACAAAAATCTTCATGTGCTTTGAAAATTATTCTGAAATGGCAGTTACCTAAAATGGCAACGATGTGCTAAGACTTTCTAACCTAATTATAAATTATTGGAGAGCAATTAGTAATCAGATTTGTACTATAAAACTAAATCAAAGCGTTTCCTATAATATTTACCCACAAGACTGTGGAAGCCATAAAGAAGAAAGTTTTTATTGAACAAACACGATTTAATTCGGCAACCATATATAATTTATAATTTTCAACAAAGTGTTAGTCAAACTCAGTAAGAAAAGGAAGTATACCTTCCATGAGGATGAAAGATGTCAAGTGTAGGTATGTGCGAAAACAACCAATTCAGGATGGGAGAGATTATGAGATTAATGATTTCATGCTAAATTCATCTAACCAAACATCGGATGCAAAATCAAGGAGTGCACAGTATTTGTAGGCTTAGCTAGGATATCAGCTAAATAACAATATATTCACATCATCTTCAGACACTCAACTGCTAGAGCATAAGTCTTTAGGCTTTTAGAAGAAAGAAATAGTAGTTTCCAGCGCATAAATAGCTTACAGTGATGGGATATTTGAGAGGCTACTCTAACAAATCGAAAATTTTGCATGATTTCATCTGCATCTAGAAAATTCATTGAATAAAAAGGTAACACGAGCCAAGCAAGGTCGTGCTTTTCGAAAGCAGTCATGCGAAGAAAATTTTCGTCTGCAAACTTTGTACACTCAGTGGTAAAAAATCAAGTTTTTGACCTTACCACATGATTAATGCGCATATATGTACGGCTCCGACAATGTTTTTCACTTCCTTTAAACTGAATCCATGACTTAGCGGCCCTGAGATAAGGCTATAAATGGTCGTTGAAACCAAAGTAGTGTCTGTAAGCAATTTTTCATGGTATGATTTCAGACTGCAAGAATCCCACAATCAACAAAATAGCGTTTCTTTACTTTTCTTATTTTTCTCACGCTTCAACTAGATAGTGCATAGATTGGATATCTTCATCGCGCACGGAGTTGTCTCTTTCCCCAGCATTCTAAGATTGTAAGAAGAGCCGGTGTCACTCAAACACATTTTTATACATGTCAAGCAAAGGCGGAAACTCTTTTCAAAACGTTCTCTAGCACAAAATTGTGACTGAGGGATAATCTATGATTTGAAAACCCAGCCCCAAATAAGAGTGCAGCGCTTTTCATATGTATAAAACAAATGGCGACATGTGAAATATGGTGGATGCAAAAGCTTTTTTTAAGAGAGAAGAGACCAATCATTTCAGGTAGCGGAAGTTAGCCAAATTTAAAATTACTCAGCATGCTCAACGAATGATTGATCTGAAATGGGAAAGCTGGGGGAGAATATTATTTTGTCTTTAATACAACCAATTTTTAGAATTCTGCAAGCGCTGATCGATACAAATAAACCTTCCATTTCCTTTGAATTGGAATGTAATTAGTCTTGGACAATTCTGGTGCTAACTACATCAAGTTAAGCAGTTACATCTTCACATAGCCCATGATAACTGCTATAAGCTTGAAGTTTAGAAGTTGTCAAGGTCTTTGCATGAACCAGGTTCTATACGAAATAATAAGTATCCGTTGGTTCACTTCATGAATTCGCACGATATCGTCAGATAGTAGCCTGAATTATATACTGAAGCTGAAAGCTATGTTCAGCTATGTTATGTTTTATACTTTAGATTTTTCACACTACTACTAACAGCAGCTATTAGACCTTAGACGAGAAAGTAACAAGTTCTAATAAAAGTTGTCTTTCCTTTGACTATCTATGTCCTGAATATCTTACTGATTAGCAGAAACAAGCACAGGTCTTTTGCACCCATTTCAGGCAGTTTTCTTGTCTTCGATGTCATTTCCAATATACCATCATAGTGCAAATGCATCATCTCTTAGTAATTACTAAGAACGCAATCTCCTTTTGATTTCAGCAATATTCTCCTAAGCGGAAATCCATCATTCATCCTTTCACAACCAAAGAAGTGCAAACAGAAGAGAGCAGCTTTCCCGTTCAGCAGCAATACTGTTTCCCAAACAATTTCATGGTATTATCTCCGAATTTTTTCTGTTTGGTTATTATCACTGGAATTATCTGAGGTGGTACCACTCAATGACAAATTTGCCAAGGAACCATTGCTCAAGAAATTACTAATTGTAAGAAAAAAAGACAGACCTGACGGAGAACCGATGTTGCACTTCGATCACTTTGACATCGAGTGGATCAGCAGCATCACACGAATCCATGTGGCTCGTCTTGTCTGCAAAGGAAAATATTTTTTGGCAAAGGTAGAAAACCACGCAACACATGTACGCAAACATACTTGAGTGACTCAGTGATAGATATACATCGTGCGAAGTAACCTTACCTATTACGATTTGGAAAGAACTTAGAATTGAAAGCTCCTAATTTGGGTTGAGCAATTCTAGATGGAATACATACGACATGAGAAAAAGCTTGGACTGCGTAAGTAGCTAGTGCTCTAGCTTTAGATTTGTTGAATACAAGATTTTCCAGGTACTTGTTCTTCAGTAGCTTCTAAGTTATGTTTTCTCTTCCTTGCTAATTGTCAGCGCATAAGTATTCGTAGTCGTAGTCCATAGTAGTCGCAAGCCCATTTCGGTAATCTTCCATGATTACGAGTTTATGAGAAGCAATCAAGAAAACTCTATGTATTTCCAATCAAGTTCTCCGTGAGGATGCACTTCTATTGATGCCCCAAAAGCTCTGTTGTTTCATTTTCGAAAATTTTAACGTTTCGATGCCTCGATGGATTTGCTTCTACGTAAATTTATTGAAAAACAGGAAGTCTTCCGCTCTGTGCATTTGCCTCGACGATCATCTGCTATACACTCATGGCAGAGATAGAGGTAGGAAAAAAGGCCGTGCAAGCTTTGATCTTTTTAGTTAGATCGCCAAAAATCTGAAATGTTGCGCAAAAATCTAAAATCGTCAATATACAATAATATGGCCCACTTTTTGCAACAAAAAAGTTTGTGCTGTTTGGGCACCATTGTAGTAAGTTATATTTTTCGAGAAAAGTGCTAGATTAATTAATTCTGGTGATTCTACTGTAAACTCGAGTAACTTTCCGCAAAAGCGTTTGAACAACACAAACTTTTTTAGGTTACAAAGAGTGGGTTGTGGTATCTGAACACTGACATTCCAGATTTTTCGGCCAGCCAGTTCCAGGTTTTTCGAGATCTAACCGTGATCGAGATAATCAAAGCTCGAATGGTCTCCTTTTCCATTTTTATCTCTGCGAAGAGTATAGCAGAATCATCAGGATAAGCTTACAAAGAGGAAGACCTTTTTTCTGACAAATTTATCGAGGGAAATATATAGAAGTGGCGAAAAGTTACAAACTTTCAAACATAAATAACATAACCTTTCAAACATAAATAACATAACCGTTGGAATATCCTAATATAATTTAGTGGGTATGAAGCGCACATTCTGTAATACATCGCTACTGTCTTCTGCAGAAAGAGGTAAGAATTTTTTTTTTCTGAAAAATGTCCTCAGTGGCTATGGAGTAAAGAAGATATTGAAGCCATGCAAGATTTTGCTAAAACATTGTCAAAAGTAAAAGAGCTTGCAATTCCGTGCGAATATCATAGTGATTTTGCAAGCGTGTAACCCCATCAAAACTGCAGAGAGAGAACAGAAAAAAGGAAGGGAGAAGGGTAGCAATGCAAAGAAAACTCAGAGGTGATGAAAATTCTACTTAGCGAGTTTCAGAAAAAAAATGCACCTGTGTAGACGATTTCGAGGGTAGATCCACCTTCACTAGTCACCTCAAAGACATCCTTTGATCAAATTAATTCAAATTTCTACGGAAAAAATGAAGCGCTGTGAAACTTATTTGGCCCGTTCATTATGAATATCACAATTGCAAGCCGTTTCCAGCGTGCGTGTGGTAAAAACGATGAGGGAACGGATCTTTTTGAAATTTGACATTGCTTACATTTTGCGGCTATAAACGGCCTCTTTAAGTTTAGCATAGCAGTAGAAGTAAGCTTGCGGGATGCATCCACATGCACACTTACTGTTCCGGCCAAAGAAACCTAGTTGGTGCTGTGGGTCAATTTTATAACAAACACTTACGTGCTCATTCCCTTTTATGCCCCTAATTTGAGATATGGTTGGTAAATGGCACGGTGGTCCCAGATATTTTTTGGAGTAACGGAAAGGCGTGATCTTAAATTCTGAATGTGCTAGTTGAGTATGGTGCTAGTTGTGCCCTCCAAGAAATCCTGTGTTGTGCTTCCCAATAATTGAGCTTGTACTTCTGAAGTGTGCAGCTGATATGCCAAAAAAGCTTTGGAAAAATGCCAGTCTACCGAATCTATCAAATACCAAAACATTGAAAATAAGAAATACCAATCTTATTCTACTGACTCAAGTTTGCAAAAATTATCTGCATAGGTTCAACACGAAAAGGGACGTAACGCAAACACTAGGATCAAAGCAACTTATTGCAAAAAGAGTACAGGCAACTTTATCGCATGCTGAGATGTTCGAAGAAAGTTTTTCACTCCGCTTTTTTCCAGAAATTGCTTTCGTGTACAAAGCCGCGTGATGAGAAATATAAATGATTAGACTTCTAACCAAAAATTCAACATTGTAATAGGATCCAGAAAGCACACGAATGTATACTGAGACTGCAGTGAAAGGCCAAGGTTAAAAATGCTTTCAACAAGCAAATTATATGTTATAGCATGCCCACTGCTGATGTTTAAGACTATTTGAAGATTACGAAAATGGCCATGCTGCACGGTTCTTGTACATTCCCTGTGCAAGAATCGCGAATGCGACTGAGGAGTTTGCTAAAATGCGATTTTTTCGCATAGTCCGTAACAATGCAATCTTTTTTTTACAAAGTCGTGCTGTTCTTCAAGCAGTTAGCTAAGCATTTTCTTCGCTAAGCCAATTTGAAAATCCTCTGCAAAAAAGGATTGCTCCAGCTATCCATACATCTACTAAGTAGGATTTCAAATGTCAAAAGCAAAATGTCTCTTCATTATGGAACTTGGGCAGTTTTTCATAGAATTTAAATGACGTCTTCAAGCCATACTCAGATTGTTTGAAAAGAGCGTAGATCAAAGTGACAGAATCTTCCAGAAAAATGGCGTGTAGCCGAAACGGTAGCCAATAAAACGTATCATTCAAATTATGTAGATTACGTAACTATACGGTGTAAAAAGATCATGGAAGATAGCAAAATCCCACTGATTTGAGGCATTCTTTACGGCTAGCTCAATCCTGAGTTGGTCAACATTATTGTCGCGGATTGGGCCCCCAGCTCCCAGCGTCAGTGGTATAATTGCTCTCCTGCATCGGCGAAGGGAGCCAGGGGTCCGCTCCACGAAAGAGTGAAACGTATCATGTGGTGGCGACCTGTGCGACGATGCTTGTGCCTGCCACGTGGGAACTCTATACACTCTTAGGGGCCCTTGCCACCAGCCTGCTTAGTAGCGACCCGTCACTTGGGATCGACCTACGCTTCCAGCCATCGACAGCTGGGGCGTGTACTCATAACCGTGGCACTTAACCGGTGTCGTGCCAGCCTTCCTACTGATGTTACCCACTGGGCTTGATTACGAAATACACATTAAATGGTAACACAATATTCCGGAGCCACAGCCGAGCTGTGGTCACCGCTCCAACACATATCACACCTGTACAATGCCCACCATTTATCCGCATATAATCCCTAAACTCAAACACAATGGGGTGGAGCACAACCAGCCAAGATCTTACAATCCTAGGGGCCAGCAGTATCGAAAACCCCCCGAGGCGGTGTCGCCGGCATGTGCCAGGCGCGAGCGCGCTCGGGGTTACCTCGTAGCGCGGGGTGCCAGTCCTCCGTGGCGTAGTTGGAATTGACGCGTAAGTTGGGGTGGCGCTGGATCGATCGATGACGAGAGACGATTGGAACCCGACCGCTCACTGTGACGGCAGCTGCGAAGACTGAGTACGTGACTTATGCGAAAGCTGCGCAGGTAAGAGAGGTGAGAGGCGGGACAGCGCGAGGACGGCGTTTCAGGACCCCTTCGCACCGCGGCGGCGGCCTCCTTTGAAGGAAGTCGCGAATCCGCGACACTCCGGGCAACACGAAGAAAAAAGAAGGGGTCCGAGGTAGTTTCCGATCTGCCATGTTACCTACGACCCTACGAGTCAAACATACAAACAAACCTACGAGTCAAAAATCCCTAGGTGGAACGCGGGACCTACACTTGTCGTGGTAACAGCCAGTTGTTCTCGGGGGTAAGCGTGAAGAGTCGTCGGGGGCTCTACTCTGGATACTGGCGGGCTTCGGCAGTTGCGTAGTCGATGGTTGCGTTGACGGAAGTTGAGGCGACGATTGACGGCGATCTCGACACTTGCGGCATCGACAGCTTGAACGGACCATGGAACTCGGCGTTGACGTAGATGTTCGGCTTGACGTTGACGTTGACAGCGGCTCGACATGGATGACGTTAAAGTGACGATGAAGAACAAAAAGTTTTAATTTTGCCTACGGGCGCATTTTTTCACGCCAGGGGGAATAAATTTTTGTGAGGGGGAGATTTTCCTCACCAAGCACAAGAACCCAAGGGCCAAGTCAAAGTCGCAAAAGAAGGGGAAATCCCAAAAATCAAAAAATCAACACGGTCTCCCACCGTGACCCCAAAAGTCGTGTGTTGCGGCTATAGTCACATGTGTCAACGTATAATGGGGATCATTGCTGCCAATCCTGAATCGAGGTTAACAACAACGACAAAGGGCGAGCTCAAAGCTCTTAGTCAAAGGAAAATAAAAGAAATAAAAAGAAAATAAAGAAATAAAAAGGAACCGTAAATTGGGGTTGTAAACTTTCAAACCTACCTGTGCGGGAGCTTGATCTTATGCTCCACTCTCCTTCCTCGAACTTGCTAGCTCACTTCGAGAATGGGCCATGGCAATCCATGCTCGGGGTGAGGGGCGACGAAGCAATAAGATGGAACTGGCTAGCCTGAACATAGCTTCGAACGTCCGTGACCACGAGAGAGAGAAGGAGGCTGCTGAAAGTAAACAAATATAATACAAGTGTGATAAGGTAAGGTGTGAATAGGTGTCTGTGGGCACAACGAAGCTGCTGTGAAAGGGCTTATGGGGCTGTGAGGTATCAATGGGGCGAGTTGCTTGGGGTACGGGCAATTCTACGCACCCATTTCGGCTCCCTATAGCGTCTTCGATGGCGTCGACGTCTGGACGTTCCCGTGGAAGATGGAGTCTGT